CAAGTTCTCTCCTCAGACACGCAGGAAGGAATTTCATGCTGGCTATTAGCAACTTGAATGTTATGTTTGCCAAGATTTAACCCATCTGTGGAGATAGCAGCTGGGGAGCTTGGGTGGAAATCAGGTCTTAGTTTTCCTTTTCTAGAAATAATGCCAAAAAAGTGTTTTAAAGTGTTGAAATTACATCTTGACACTTAACTCTCTCTACCACTGTCTGCTTTATATTTAATTTATAATACAACTATATATTTTCAGACCCAAAACCTAAATGAAACCATTTGCAATTATTTTGGAGTGCAGTTTTTCAATTGACCTGATCTAATTTGAGGTTTATAAATTCACCAGGCTTCTTGAGATTAAAGTGTTCTGTCTTCACTTAAGTATGGAAACATTTTCAAGCCTCAAAAAATATCCCACAAAGGGGAAAATGTCTGCTGCTCTGCTCTCCTCGCTGTCTGGGGAAATGAAGGACAGAGTCACAAGATTTAAAGCATGTCACTTATCACACTTTACTAAGTTACAGTTCAACTATAGTATTCGACCATGTGCCTGTTTTTAGCACCACAGTCACATTTCATTTGTGCAGCTTAAAACCGTCTCCTCTGCTCAGTCACTTCGAAAAATGTGTTTCTTCTGCAGCGCTTACAGAAAGTGAGTTTGTGTCCCTGTGCATGAGTTGCCAGTGTAATTTATTCCAGCAACTTCTCTCCCCTCTCCCAGCAAAATAAGCAATACCATGCTCACATCCCTGTGCGTGAGCTCTCCTCAGTCTGCTGTTCAGAGTGCTGGAGACATTATTTATGTTCATTAGAGTTTGGGATGAATTGCCAATGCAAAAGAAGCAATGACTAATCTGTGTGGCTTTTCTTCTGTATTCATTGGTGGGTCATCGTGGGAGAGCCCTTGTGCTAGCATGATACTGCAAGTTACTTCTGTCCCCCAAGTTTGGTTAGGAGGGGTTATAATCTGCAGCATTAGGGCAGCAGGAAAAGCTGCAGCCCATGGGCTGTCACTGCGCCTCTGCTCCCCAAAGCCTCTGCCACCTTGCCATCTGGGAGAGGGCTCAAACACTCCCCAGCTCCAGTCTTCTGTGGCTCTTGCAACCCAGAAGTCTTTCCAAGAAGTTGGAGTTTTTACTTTGTGTCCCATGTTTAAACCTAAAGTCTGCAGAGCATCTCCCTTTAGCTTTCTGTAGTTTCTGAAGGGACAAGTATTGCTCTAGGGAGGTCAACTCAAATCACCACTTGCTAGATGCTTGCTCCCAAGCATCTTGTTCCCACTTTGCTACTGATTGTGCTATACATGTTCAAGTGTCTTAATTTTAACTTGCAATATTATTCATGATGTCCTGGTCATTATAGCTCTTTCTTTGTATTTTAGTGTATCTTTGCTTGGGGTTATTTTTCTTGCAGGCATTTAGGGTGCATTATTCTCCCCATGTGATATTCTTTTTGTTTGCCATGGATGTTCTGCTCTCAAGAGACATGAACCCAGTGTCAGACTTTGTGCCAGCCTTCCATTTAGAAATGGATGGCTCCTTCCCTATGCTTTCCAAACCCCCAAAAAATTAGTTGGATTTGGAGACACAAGGGCACTCCCTGCCTCTTGGCCAAAAATATGGGAAAAGAATGGTAAACTTTACCCTCAGCCCACACTAGATTTGTGGTCTATACTCTTATGACATGAATGTGACCACAACCCTTAAGTCTGATGTTTCCTAGCTGTTTCTCATCTTTCTTCTTTGTGCCGTGCCTTAACTCTCAGTATAGCTCATCAGATGCATTCAGCTCTACCTGTTGATTACAGAGCAGGCTTACAACAACAACTGGAGAGAAAAGAAGGAAAATAGACCTGTTAGGCTTTTTCCTTCATCTTGTTTGGCTTTTTGAAGGTCTGAAAGCTCCAGGAGATGCTAGGAGAGTTAGACTAACTGTGAAAGAGAGCAAAATCAAAAAGCCAAACTTATAATCCTACAGGGATGCTGTTCCCATAATGTGCAGAAATACCTTTGTGCAGGTTGTTAGCTGCTACAGCAGCGCTTAGGCATGTGGGATAACCTGATTAGAGAATCAAAGAAAACCCTGGTAGCTTCACAGGCCAAATCCTGCCTTACAGCAACCTGATGTCAAATGGGTGTGAATCAAGGAAGCTTTCCCTTTGGCATCATCTGGTAACACCTTGAAGAGAAGGGTGTGAGCCAGCCAGGGTTCTAGCAAGGAGAGAGAAGCTTAAGCAAATACACTCCCAGACAGGGAGTGAGCTAGAGTCTGAAACTAATGACTTTGTTTTTCCTTACTGGTACAGACTTGGAGGGATGAAAAGAATAAATTTCTCAGGTCTGATTTTGAGGTTGTATAGAAGGCTTAATCAGGAGTTGGTTAATTTATAATGCTTGTCTACTTAGCTGTGAGAATGTCAAACTGTGATTGAGCTGAGATTTGGGAGCAGATGTGTGTTTTCAGAAGGTATGATCCAGCAGGGTGATTGCCTGCTGTCATGGTCACTGCAGAGTTTCCACCAAAATCAGTGTTAACATGAGATGTCAGACAGGATGGCTGTACTGACCCCTTGTGTGCTTAAACTCTGTGTGCCTGAAATGTGTGAGCAGGAGTCACATCAGATCCGTGGTGAGAGCAGTTCCAGGCCTTGCTGTTTGGTGCTAGACCCCTCTGCAGCATGGATGGCTGCTGCAGGTGCCTGCTCTGGTCACACTCCTGGGTGGGCTGCAGTAGCAGACTAGGAGGACTGCTGAACAGATCAGTCTCCAGCATGGAAGTAAGCCATGGAATTCCCAGTCATGTTGTGGGGGATCAGTATTTATCAGAATTCAAAAATCAATTAGGAAAGTTCATGGGAGACGCATCCACTTGAGGCAAAGCATTGAGAAGCCAAGCTCTGACTCAGGAAGTCCCTAAACCAGCAATCAGTGGAGACTGGAAGCAAATCCCAAGGAATTTCTGTGTTTTGCTTACCCTGTTCTCATACTTTGGCCTCTATTGTTGGCAGCTGTTGGAAATGAGGCAAGCAGTGACTTGGTGAGGCAAATGCTCCATACCTGTGTGTGTTCAGAAAGTTTCATGGCAAATGCCTTACGAATGGCACAATCTTCCATCAGTATCTGCAGGTATCCTGCCTTCCCTCCTTGGCAGAAAAACACAGAGAACCTCATGGATGCAGACTGAGATGATGTGATCTGCTTATGCAGAGCAAAATGGTAAATCTGCCAGGTTATTTCTCCATGGAGAAAATTATTGACCTTGCTTTTTCTGGCATACCAGGCACCATTATAATGATGATGATGGTGACAGCAACCAGACAGAAAGGCCAGCAGTCATTCTTTCCTGCCCATTATTACAAGGTATAAAGCAAAAACCAGCCTGAATTTGTTGCTAGTCTGGCTGTGCTCTCCTTACAAATGCATGAGGCAGTTCTCATACGGGTTGAAATTCAGGACTTTTCATATCGACCTTTCCAAAAGCAATCCTTCTGATCCTCTGGTAGGAGCTTGTGTATTTCTATTTGTACCTTACCAGTGACGTGCAGCCCAGAGATAATGTCTGAGAGCAAATGTGTGAATGTAGAACCTTCTGAGTTCCTGGGTGATTCATCTCCTTACAATGCATTCTGGTTGCACATGTAAGGACTGGATCTTGCCCCTGAGAATACTGGCTCAAAGAAGCAATAACAATGCAGTCAGTCAAAGGACTACTTTCTCTGGGAATTTTGTGGCATGAGGAAGCAGGACTTTAGCCTTCCTGTCTTTGTCAACAAGATCTGCCTTTCAGCAGCTTTCTGTATTTCTGTCCCGTTAGATTTTTTCCTTTTTTTTTCTTCCCACCTCCCTATCTCTGTCTATCTAAATAATAATCAATAGTGTAATGATAGATTTTTTTTCTGCCTCACCCAAGATGCAAATGCTGGTTGATAGCATTATTTGATAAGCTCAGGTACATCAAACAAGAATAGTAGGTGAAGTTTGCTTTTCTAAAGTCCAGTGAAGTTACACAAATCATTGCCACAGATTTATTGTTAGTATCTATATGGGTTACATCCTCCATTCATGGCATGTATGTTTTAAAGTGCTTACTTTGAAATGGTTAGTTACCCAGTTGGTGTCAGAAGGGCTGATATGGCTCACAGACAACCATCTGAAACAAAAATATCTTGGTATTTCTATAATTAACTGTAAGGGTGAGTGAGGGTTGAAATGAGATGAATCATTCAGTGGACCCCACTTGAAAAGTGGGAATTTTTTTGGCTCCAGCACTTCAGGAGCAGGCTAGTATGGAAAACCTGTGCAGCAAGGATCATAGCCTTAGATCTGGCATTTCACAGTCATTATCTCAAAGATCATGGGCCAGAGATAAATGAAGCATTTAAGTCATCCTGAACTCCTGTCCTTGCAGATGCTTTCCTTGCAGCCACTGCTTTGTTCTCTCTAAGACTTACCAGTATTCTCTGTGAAGAGAGAGGAAGGTCAAGATTTTCATACAGGGCAGATAAAGATATTTTTATGGCATCTGCATTGACAAAGTAATTAGAGGGTCTCTGTGTAGCCCCAGGAGTTTGCACTTCAGTTTAGTGTTGCCCCCTGTGGAACTTGTCTCTAATGAACTCTGCTGCAAAAACTTGCTCAGACTGGGCAGTCCAGAGGCAAAAGCCTAGGGTGGCTGCACAACTCCTTCCTTCATGTGCTCCTAGCTACAGAAGCTGCTGTGTCTCAGATAACATACCTGATGAGCCATCTCTGATCACTTGTCAAAGCTGCTGAGAGAAGGCTCTGGTCTGTGTTCTCACACGGTTCTAAAGGCTTGACCCACGCCCTGTGCTGTTATCATACTCTTTGATGACTGTTGACTGTACTGCACTTTATCTACAAGAAATGAAAAGAAGATACCTAAAGCTTCCAAGCAAACCATCAGCAGCCTCCAACCCAGCTGACATTTGTAAGTGTCCTGCTGAGATGGTGCTCACATCTGTTGTGCTTGTTTTCTTTGCAGAATACACTGGAGCAGTGCAGTGTCTGTGCAAAGCCCATCATGGAGAGGATCCTGCGAGCCACTGGGAAGGCTTACCACCCCCACTGCTTCACCTGTGTGATGTGCCATCGCAGCCTGGATGGGATCCCCTTCACTGTGGATGCTGGTGGCAACATCCACTGCATCGAGGATTTCCATAAGTAAGTCTAAGCTGCTGTCAGTGCTTTGCTTGTTGTCTTTGTTTTTTGCCCCTAAAAATTCTCCTTTTTTATACTGAGCCTTCAGGAAGTTCTGAATCCTATGCCACTTCCTTCCAAGGCTCTTAAATAGTAGGGAGAGCTTTGCTCCAAGCAGGCACACTGTGGCATAGAAGGTTAATTGGTTAGGGGATGATTCTGCTTGGTCTCTGTTTTGCTTAGAGCTGAATTGAGGGATAACCTCTATGTCCTTCTGTTTTAAGTGCTCTGCCTTCCCCTTACCTTTCACTGTACGTTTCTCTTCACTGCCTCTACCTGCACTTTCACATCACCACCTCCCTTCTTCTTCCACTGAGCAATTAAGAGAGGTCCTGTCCTCCTGCACTCTGCAGGTGTTTGCTTACCTCCTAGAGGGATCTCAGTGTCCACAGGTTGCTCACAGCTCCTTTTGTTTCTAGTTGCTAATTAGCTTTTTAAAGCTACTAAAAATACAGCCCTGGTAATAATTTATAGTGAAACTGCTATTTAAAGTAAGTTGAAAGGTATAGCTGCAAGTAATTTCTGTCACTGACATGCTACCACCCCCATCATCACAACTAATCTAGGGAAGACAGGTAGATATAATCAGAGCACAAATGTTTTCCCTGTATGAAAAAGACAGATACATTACACCCCTCAATTAAAAGATGAAATCAATACTGACAAATGTGAGTTTACATCTCAACCATTTACCTCTTAATTTCTAGGGGGGTAGACTTAATTAGAACCTCATGACATCAGTGTGTGGGTCTGAAAACTGAGAAAAGCTGGCTGACTTGACAGAAAGAGAAGCAGCCACAATTAACTGGCATATTAGAATCCAACAGGAGGATGTTCCCTGTAGCTCAGCTAGGCTGGATTAATTGGCAGCTGCTGCGTTGCGTTGCCTTTCTAAGCCACCAGTTGTGTGTAAGGTAAAGTGTGGTCCTGAGCACAGGCCCAATAGGAGTTTTATGCACCACTCAGGCACCTGAAGGACTTCCCTCACACGCCCTCACAAATTTGCAGAGTGCCCCTTCCAAAGCTCCATGGGCCAAAGGCTCACATGCTTTCAGGAGAAAGAGAGCTGATGTCCCACACTGAAGCCTTTTGGCAGTGGCTGCATACAAACCTCAGGGCTCTGAGAGTGGAAAGTGGGAGGCTGTCAGTGCAAGGAAGGACATAAAAATTGTTGAGTGAAGGATTGAGGGGAAGGTGATGGGAATAGCATGAGACCCAATGTGACACTCAGAGAATGTCTTTGGCCAACCACACATTTTGCAGTACTTTGGCCATCCCAGTTTAAATTGATTAGGGATGACACGTCCTCTTGATCTGGAGGTTGAATGTTCTACATCTACATCCTCTTGATAACAAAACTGTAGCTGATGCTCACTCACACTACCCCTGAGCTCAGGCCCCACAGTAACAGATCCACATCCCCTGAAATCTGCAGGAATGATATCAGGATCCTGGGAGATAATATTTATCTCATAATGACAGTACTCACAGTAGCCTGGACAAAGAAATGTTAAAGTATTTTTTAAGTACCACATTTGAGCTAAATGGAAGGGCCTGCGTGAAGCAGCACATAATTAATTGCCATCACAGCTCCGGTCATATCATGATCCATTTAAGTTATTTTTCAGAGCATTCGTTATAGCCACTGTTTAATTCATTCTTTCATTAGATCACAGCTACACAGGCATCTTTCATCTGCTGCCAGTGAAATTAATATTTTTCTTTATTCCTAGTACAGATAGATTTTATTTTTTTTTCGTTTCTAAGATAGTTAATTCTGAGATGGTTCATGTGACAGGCTGGGTGGCAGAGTCAATCCTTACTAGGCGTTTCAGAAGAGAAGGGCCTTTCATCTCCTTGTGTTCTGATGTTTGCCATAAGCTTTGCCCTCTGTCACTCCACAGCCCCTGTCCCTGGCTCTCGTTAAATAGCAGCAGATTCTGTGGGTGTAAGTTTCCTTGTTTGCAGGCAGAATTTGCAGCCAGGAAACTGGTACCATTAGGTTTTGAACGAAAACAGCAGATAATGATTCACCACAGGCAAAATGTTCCCAAGCCTAGGAGCAGAGATGACCACTTCTCATGGGACCTGAGGGGAGCAAAACCAGAGGGAATGCAGAGCATGAGTAAATTATCCAGAAGGGCATATGGTGAGCAATAGAAGAGAGAAAGAAAGGGCTGTGCTTCTCTTGATCCCTGAGCTGACCCTAATTCAAGTCAGTCTCTTCATGCAGTGAGTTACTGTCACTATACAATTGGAAGTCAGGCTGACTGGAAGAGAGAACATTGGGGTCTCTGCACCCAAACCCATTCCCTTTTAAACCTGGACAACACCCTGTTGGATAGCTGAGTTGGTTTTAGCTAAAAAATGCAGGAAGTCAGAATTGCCTTGATGCTTCTTGACTGAGAGTGAGCAGAGCCGGAAGTGTGCTTCTGTGTGCATAAGTGGGTAAGATGGCTTGGAAGTTTTAAGGGGATGGCATAAACCTCAACAAATTAGTACAAGGCAATTCTTTTTACCATTTCCTTTCAGACTTTTTAACTATTTGTTCCAATCTCCAAATTTTAATAGTTTAATTTTTGTTTTCAAGAGATGCTCTTGAAGCAGATCCTGGTCATCTTTCTAACCTTGGGATTTGCGTGGATTTTCTTAGAGGCTGAGGGTTGTTGCAGTGCATAGGTGCCACAATCAAGGGTCATTCAACAGGCACTTTCGTTGTTAATTAGGGCAGTAAAATGCTTTGTTGCATGTCAGAAGTTCTATAAGTCCTCTCCTAATAAATGTTCTTTAATATCCTACGTTCTTGAAGTTGCCTTATAAGACAAAGTGCTCCTGCCTGTTTTTTTCCAAGAAGGGAGCTGTGCAGAGCTCCAGCCTGTGTTGTGTATGCACACACTTGTCTGTGTTGGTACAAATGCACACATTTCTATCTGGCTGGTCCAATTAAAAAAAAAATTCTGGAGGATGACTGTGCCTGTCTCTTGCTTCCTCAGGAAATTTGCCCCGAGGTGTTCTGTGTGTAAGGAGCCCATCATGCCAGCCCCAGGACAAGAGGAGACCGTGCGCATTGTTGCCCTGGATCGCGATTTCCATGTGCAGTGCTACCGCTGCGAGGTTGGTATTCCAGTCACAGCAGGGACACAAAGCAAGGCTTGGCTTAACTTCAGCACCACCTCACGCTGCTCACACGACAGGCATACCCTATTGTAACACTGGCTCTACAATCAAATTACTTCATTGACTTCAGCAAGCAAGGAATTTTTCCTCATTTATATCCATGCAAATGAGAGGAAAATCAGGTCCCTTGTTTATAACAGGTTCATTAGGAGAGCAAAAGAATGTGACTCAGGCAATTAGGGCTTAATACTTGAGAACTTCATAAATTATAGCCTGGACACAAATGTAGCTCATCTTTATGTTCTTAAAATGAAAGCTAATGCATGTTAGGATTTGAGCAAGATTGTACAGGAAACTCAGCATATGGCTCTGGGTGGAAGAATTTTAATGGACACATAAACATGATCATTCTTGTTTTGTGCAATGCTTTTTGTGCTACTTTTCCTGTTCAGTTTCATTACACACTTCATGTAATTTTGATGGTAAGAATCTGAAGACAGAGAATAAAAATCACCTTAAAGCAATTAGCATGTGGGAACAGCTGTGTGAGGGAACCTTCAAGAATTCTTCAGTGCTGGTGTTACTTGTTGGATAATACATCAACCAGATGGCAGGGTAAGAAAATGAGGCCAAATATATTTCTTATTGCAATTGCAAGTTTTAATAACCTTAATTGGAAGGAAGGATGGACTAAGGTTTAAAGGTCTAGGCTGAAACTTGAGGCATCTGGTTCAATTCTCAATCTGACCTTGCCTTTCATGGTACATATCAGCCCATTACTTAGGCCCGTTATTTTTTAAGATTCTGGGGCATTCTTACACTAAATTCTGTAGAGCCTAATTCATCATACAGCATGTCCCCATGCTGGCTGCTGAGATACCCAGGCTTCCACACTCATGGATCCATCAGTCCTGCGCCAAGCAATTGCTTGATCACGTGGTGAGGGGTAATTCCCAACTTTCCTAGCAGCTATACTCAGCCTTAAGGCTGAGGTCTCTGGAGCAGGTTTGGGGGCCTTGTAGTGTCTGACATCCTCCTTTTTGCCACAACTTTTTTGGCCAATTTTAATACAAACACGGGTGACAGTTCTGGTAAGGGGAGACAGGCAGGGACTTTGCTTAGTTGCCACCCCTAGAATGGAGGCTGTAACTTTGTGGCATTAAGTCTTCCAAAGGAGATCACCTACAGTCAGACATTGGTACTAAACTTTTTCCCAGTGATGGTTCTCTTTTATCCTTTTTTTTTAATTAATAAATATGTGCTTCAGTTTGATGTTTCTCCAATGCTAAAGACCTTTGCTTCCTCAGAAATGTGAAGGGCATAATCTCCTTTTATTTTCAATTGGATTAAATTCAGCAGAGAGCTTGGGAACCCATCTTCTCTGCAGCATTGTCTCTTATCAGAAAATGGCTTAATCGTAAAAGACATCACGTACCTCAGCTTCATGCCTCGCTCTGACTCAGGCTGGATCCTGTTACAAGGTGGAGAGTGAGGAGAGAGATTCTTTGGCTAATAGATTCTTTGCTTAATCTTGCTCTTTCTTATTTACTTTGCTCTTCATGTTCACTTGTTTCCTAGGACTGTGGTGGCCTGCTGTCTGAAGGGGACAATCAGGGCTGTTACCCTCTGGATGGGCACATCCTGTGCAAGACCTGCAACTCTGCTCGGATCCAGGCTCTGACTGCCAAGGCCAGCACTGACCTCTGAGTATCAACTGTGACCCTCCCCAGGATGCCCATTGGGATTTATTGCACAAGCTTTGCATGATTTCTTTCCAGCTTAGGGTCTGAATCTCTGTTATTGAAAAAAAAAAGAAAACAAAAAAAAAGAAAACAAAAAAAAAAGTAAAACTGGAAGGCCTTGGAACAAGAGGGCTGTTTGAGAGGCCATGTTCAGACTGCCTATGACAGGCACCTAATTTAGACACAACTGTTCAGGAGGGCAGTGAGTGAGTCAGAGCAGCTGGTGGAGTTAAGAGTCACAGCACCTAGGTTATCTGCCTGTAGAAGGAGGTCTGAACATGGTACTTACTATGCTTCTGTGTTTGATTCCTGTTTCTTAAGTACATTAAGGTAGAGGGTGAAAGATGGCTGAGGTAGTTAATTTCTCCCAAGTTATTTTGAGAACTTGACCAGCTCTCATTGAAGTCATGGGACTTCAATGTCTGCTGGTGACTTCAATAAGATCTGTGTCACCACTAGAAGTAGTTCCACTGTGCTAGAAGGTGTGAGAGCAGACCAAGCATTAACACAAACAATGCAACTGCAACTGTTCTGCACCTGAGTGTAGGTGTGATCTTGTATCTCTGGGACACAGATTGGTTATTTCTTAGGCCCTTCCTTGTCTCCACTCCCTTCCAGTTCAATAGGATTTTTTTTTTACTCATGAAAATCTACTTAGCTATTGCATAAATTTATTCAGTAGTGATGCTTCCAATTCACAATGTATGAGTAATCACAGAAAGATGTGAGCTTGCACACACTGTACACTACACACACACTGTACACTACACACACACAGCATGCTTTTGATTTACCAGGGGCATAAACCAGTCATGTCCATTGAGAAAATCTTTAAGGGATGTGGTGCTGGAAACACATTTCTGAAATCCCAGTGGTTAAAAAAAGATTAAAATGACTACATAAACTTCAGTGCAAAGCGATGCTCAAAAAAATCTTACACCACTCTCTCATACAGCCCATTCTGGTGGGACCACTGGCAGTGTTGGTCTCTGGGGAGACATCGAAGCAATAAAGTCTTGTTACATCTCCAGTTATTGCAATGGGAGGATTTTCCTTCTACAGTAACAGGGATTGAATCGAGCTTTGGGATGATACATATTTCTCTGATGTTAACACATGTGATCTGTATTTTTCAATTTAAAAAATCAGATCTTGTTTCAACAACAGCAAAAAATATCATCCTAAGTACATGTTCAGTTTTCATCCTAAGAAAACTGAAGAAGGTATTAAGCCCTTCACTATGCCATTCCAGAAAGCAGGCAATTTTTTTCCTTTCCCATTTTCATTCCAGCCACTTATAACTTGCTTCTGGTGAAATTCATGAGAGTAGAGTGCTGGGCCAGCAGCAGCATTTTCATCTTCAGTCCAGAATTAATATATATGCCAAGGTAAATAAAACTTGGGCATAGATAATCCTTTTTTCCCATGATCGTGGGTTTAGAGAGCTTTTGGGTTTTTTTAGTTTGGTTAATTAAAAACAAATAAAAAAATTAGAAATCCATGGCATTCTGAGCAGCTATAATAGTCTTGTTCATGAAACCCATAATAACTAAGGTGCAAATTACATAGTGAGGGAGTAATTTTCATATCACCGAATTGACATTAATATCTTATTTGCAGATGTAATCAAGGAAAATACCTTTCTTTGCACTTAAATTAAGAAGCAGAACTCAGTTACAGGCTGATTGACCATATAAGTGACGAACTGGCACTTTTCAAGAGTAAGTTAAAAGATTTTTTTTATGCATCCCACAGAAAAACAATAAGAATGTGGTGCTTTCCACTTTGTATCAGGCTTCTGTTATAGAGAATAATTATATCCACTAATGCTGGAAAGAAAAGTTAGATGAGCTGAACTGATAGGAAGCAAAGGAAAAATTGTGATGGGATACTGCAGCTCCTGCAAATGGTGCATTTCCTTTCAGTTTAGCACTAACCTTTCTGGAAGAGCACTGTGATATTCTGTAGCTTCAGCTGTCTGTGGTAAATTCAAATGCAGAAATACCAGTCTGAAACTTCCATTCCTTACATGGTTTATACGTTGGCAAACTTCACCAGTGTCAGGGAAGTTTCCCAAAATTCACAACTTGAAATGAATCCTTCTTTGTAGAAGGGTGGCATCATTGAGCAGACTTCCTTCACCACCATAGGGGCTGTGCTGAAGCAGTTTGACTTTTTATACTGGATTTCTGCCCTGGCCTGCAAGAATGTTACTGCCTCAGACATAAACAGATTTTTTGGCACCCTTGTTCCCACCAGGTTCCACCTGGGCTGTTGCTCCCTGAACCGTGGCATGTAAGGTCCTTCTGAGCTCGCTTCTTGACACGCAGTCTGCACCACCACCAGTCAAAAAAACCTTGCAAATACTGAGCAAATTTAGTTTGAACTAAGACTACAAAAACAGAGGAGGTCAGTGCTGGGATACAAGCACAGGTGATAATGTGATGCATTTTGGTGCAGAATGAGCCATTCATCAGGCAGAAAAGGTAGCTCTGATCTTCCTTTCTCTTGTGGTTGTTATATCAAGTGGCTGATGAGACTCTCCTGAATAACCCTGGGGTAATTGATGGGGACAAAATGCTGTGCCTTCCAGCAGAATGTGGCCTAGACTAAGGAGGACGAAAGTTCAGAGCCTTTGGGCTTTTTACAGCGCTGCCATAGGCTGGACTGGAGCAAGTCATATGGCTCCTTGTCCTCTGTGTGAGAGAGCTGCTTTGCAGTTTCCCAGAGACATTATGGGGATTCAACTAGTCACAGACTAGCCCAAACTACTGATTTCTGAAGTTCTATTTTCTCTTTCCAGAAAACTTTGCTGGTATGTAGGCCTGGGATTCCAGCCCATTTCAATGCATGCAGCCAGCCAGGAGATCAGCTCTGAATCCTCTCTGTTATGAGAGTGCTGTGCTGAGCTGGGCTGGCACGCACAGAGGTGAGAGCCAAAATTTTCAAGCACTAAATACTTCATGGATGAAATATGATTGACAAAGATTGAGCAGTGTTGATGTTTGAGGTGCTGTGGCTGGTTTCTAGACCTGACATATCTGTGCAAAGGTACTATGATGGGGTTTTTTTCACTTCTAAACACCAAAGCCATCTGCCTGTTGGAAGGAGTGTCCAAAATCCTCATCTTTATTCTGTGTGGTTTTGTTTTCCAAAATTGCTATAAATATATTTGAAAGATATTGAATATATATCACGGAGGCTCTCATCACCCACATGGATATGGAAATCTCCCTGCTGATGCTTTGGGATTTAATTAGGAAATGCTGGTGGGATTTATCTCAATTATACTGCAATTAAGAACCACTGGGATATGGCTTCATCACAATATTTATCACATATTTATAATATATCATGTTTATCTGTTCCAAAGAAGGAGTCTTTTTGCCAAAGAGACCTTGCTTTTTTAAAGCTGGACCTTCTTAGCCATGACAAAAATTCACATCATCTGTAGCTGTGTTAATGTCCAAACTGTTCCTTTCAGAAAGAATTGGAAGATCACACAAACACTTCTGTTCAAGTCTGCAGTTTCTGCTTATGCTGCTTTGTCTATTATTTGTTGGCAAGTAGGGCCTGATCCCATGATTTGTGTGGCCAGACAGGGCCCAGGATCAGGTTCTGATTTAGCAAAATATTTAAGTCCCTGGGGCTTGTTTAAGTGCAGACTTAAAGCCATTACATGGTGTGACATAAGCCGTTAACACCAGACTGGTTCTTTATCTCGTGATCATACTGGTTTGATCTGGGTAGGATGTGGGCACAGTCAAATTTCTATCAAATTATCCAGAACACAGGAAATGGCTCCTGTGTCACCCTTGTGCCAATTGCAGGAGAGCACCACAGCTGATCAAATGTAACATTTGGATGACAGGAGGCTGAGTTGTTACAAGATGAGTGCTTTGTCTTGGGTGGCTGTGGCACCTTTCATTTCACAAGTAGCCCTACAGCCAGATTTACTGTATCTTTGAGCCATGGCTTTAAAACTGTCTACTTAAACTTTCTCCAGGAGATTGGGTTGCCTTGGTTACAGCCCAATCCTTAAGCATATCCCCAAGGCTAACACTAGTATTTTGTGAATGTGATAGTTTTATTGTCACTTATTTTATTCATTGAACATTACTTTTAAAAGCAGAAAGCCACACCAATTCTTTAGCCTATCAGATAATACACCTTTAATTTTGGTTTTGGGAGGGGTGTTAATATTTTAATTCTTAGATTTTTATCATGGCTGCAAAACACTTGGGTAATGACTTAATCATAAAGGTGTGGGAGTACCAAAGTGTTTGTCACTCTACATAATAGTGTTCATCGTGATAGTAGGAGTGAGGCTTTCATAAAACACAGGCCTTAAATTGACTTTCTGCCTATCAGCAAAATGTGCCTGAGAAGAATGAGAAAAAAAAAAGTCTTTAAAGAAATGGTGGTTGTTAAAGAGAATATGCAACAAGTCTGAAATCTCTTTGGACCTGTTATGGCTGCTGCTTGGCTGTGGTTAGCTCAAGCCTGGCTTAGGTTTGATAAGTGCTGGTTCCTTTTGATTTTGAGGTAGTCTGGAAGGCAAGGGATAACAGGACCCAAGAGAAGGTTCTTGAGAGAAATCCCGTGTCAAGGATGAATGTTAGACACCTGGTGCTTGTGCTGAGTGGCTCAGAAAGGTTTGAGTTGCTGACTGGAATTTGTTGGTTCTGGTTCCTGCAGTGAGGTCACAGTGTTGATTTGTGTTTGTTCAGCAGCCTCACACAGGTTCAGTACTGCAAGCTGGGGCTGTTGGAGAGGGGGTGCTGAACCATCCCACTGTGGTGAAATCCCCCTGAGAAAACACCAGTGATGGTAACTGAGGGTTTGCTGTGGAAGGAGGGCAGGAACTGTTCCATAACCTTAGAGGTTGGTAAAATACAGACCAAGAGAGCTGTGAGAACACTATTTCCAGTTAGAGCTGGTTGCAATTTTTACACTAAATTACGTGATATCAGAAGGGCCATTTTTTAATGAGAAATTCTCTCTTTTTGCAATGTTACCCACAACGGTTTTTAAGGGTTGTTTTTTGCTGTTATGATTAAAATTATAGTGAATTTTTATCTAAATAAATTTCAGAATTGTTAACAAGTATTTTTATTTCACAAAGACCCATGTCGTCTTTCATAGTTTTTTGTAGTTCTTGGGATTCTTCTGTTGGTAAATTAAGTTTCTGTTACAATTTTGAAAATTTCTTTGGATAAAAATTCTACTTAAAACCAAGCAAATGTTCTTGGAAAGTGGTTCAGTATTGGACCTGGAGAAATAAAAAAAAGCTTTGAAACTTTTCACAAGATGTTTTTTTCCCTATTTTTAACTAGTTTTGCTAATTTTGAAGTCACTGTTTCCTTTGTTAGAACAATCCAAGTAATGTGACTCTTAAAATAACAGTGTTACTTCTGTTGGATTCATTTTTCTTATCTGTCTTAAAGCCATGGAGGGCTGGCTATAGGGACTGCCAGTGTCTTTTTCTGTGGCAACTGCAAATTTCTTCTTTGTTTTTATCTTGGGGTCTCTTTCTGTTTGACTTTTTCCCTTGAAATTACTGAAGAATATGAGCACATTATGGCAAGTGCCGTGAAAGTCAAGAGATGCTCATTGAACTTCATCTTCTTTCTGGGCTTGGGAATGGCATTTTTCCTTAAATATTTCTAGAAATATTACCTGTCTCCCTCAGCATTTCAACTTTGAATTTGTAACAGTTGGTTGCCCAGCTGGCATTTGGAGCCTGAGAGAGAACACATTTTACACGTGTGAAATTATAACATTCATCCAGCATTTAAAAATCGAAGAGAAAAAACATAACCTCAGTAGGTTTCCTGGTGGACATTGAGGAACAGCTCTCACTTCAGCCTGGAAACCTGCTGTGGTCTGAAAAAAACTTAAGTTCCCCCCTTGCAGGGCAGTCTGGCACATACACACACATGTCAGGTGTTTGTGGGGCTGTAACTGAGTAGAAATAAAGGCTGCAGTATTGACTGTTGCTACTAATACTGCACTGGGCTTTACTCCTGACTACATGTCCCTGGTCTCTTTGGCTTCATGTAACGTGTGGAAGCACGGGGTTTATCACGGGTAGCAAGAGCATCCAGTTAAAACTTCTTTTTTTTTTTTTAATGTTGCTGTTCGTCCAGTATTCTCATCCTACTTAGATATTTTAGAAAATGAGGAAGGAAACAGAAGCCCCAGTGGTGGCATTACCTTTACGTTTCCAGGGGTTAGAGTCCCTCCCCAGGAACATCCCACTTGGGGTGTCTCTGCTTTCCTGCCTCTGCCTCCCCACAAGCCTCTCTCTTACCCACTTTTTCCATGTCCTCAATGTGCACTCATCTTTGCAGTAAAGATGGTTTCTTACTTACTTCACCGAGGTATTGTGAGTCTTAGCTAGTAGTTGGAAAAACTTGTTCAGATCTTTAATCAAGTAGTTTTGTGCGTCCTTAGTATCAGTGGCCTGCCATATGGATATC